CCAGTTTAGTGCAGTACCAGAGATGCCCACCCAGTCCTCTAGTCTCTGTAAGAGGATCCCATGATTAACAGTGTCAAAAGCAGCACTCAGATCAAAAACGATAACATACCTGGAGTTGTGCCTTGTTTTATTCATACCTGTTTAACACACAGACCCTGTATATTTAGACTGAAGTCTTTTCTCAGATGGAAAATTCTGTTCCACCTTGTGTTGTCACGTGGTAATACAGGAAGTGCTTCACTGTATTTTTAATCTCCATACACCTTCAGTAGAATCATTTGGATGAATTCAGCCCTGGAATTACCGATCTCTATGGAACTAAAGTGAAAAGGAGCTGCTAACTTGAAAACTTCATGACATTACAAGGTGGAGCAGAGCATTCTGAGCTTTGGAGACGCAGACAGACTAATAATAAAGTGTTACTCAAACGTCTGAATGAAACAAAACACAACTCCAGGTCTGTTTTTGATGAGGTGACAACATTATAACATGTCTTAAATTCACAAGAGTCGGTTTTGAGTAATATAGCACCTTTAAAATAACATTTACATTCTGACACGCTGCTTAGAACCTTCACAATCTATTATTACAACTTTTAAAACTAGCAAAACTTTTACGTTACCATCTGTTATAATTCAGCTGGAGCTGCTCTGTGGATCTTCTGAGTCTGAAATTAATCTGGAGGTGTTTTGTGCTGTTTAAACACACTGATGCGTTTGGTTGCTTTGATCAATAATTACACGTACTCAAAGATTAATTGTATTTTTTTTTCATTGCAGTTATATCAGTGGAGCTGGTGCTGTGTGTGGGGCTCCTCTGAACTTCACAGCACGGCAGCCATTTTGATGTGGTGAGTCTCTCCCAATTTCCAATTAACATCAAAATCTGAGAACAGACTTGGAATTTAAAACAATAGATTTTTTTTTTTTATGTCATAGCAATGTGGCATAATGTAGAACACTATGTAACTTTCTTGGCAGGAATATTCCCACTGCTTTAAAGAGCCTGTATTATGTATTTTGTTGTTGTTGTTGTTAGTTCAGTAGAGATTGGCAGTGCCAGAGCTGAAATCATCCAAATGATTCTAGTGAAGGTGTACAAAGTTTAAAACACAGCAGAGCACTTCCTGTATCACCACATGACATCAGAACACATAATCAGTATTGGAAACATTTATTTCAAATTGAGCTGATCAAAAGACTGTCTCATTTTTATATTTATTCATGTGACAGAGGCCGATGTGAGAGCTCATTTTATTCACAAACTAATCACAGAGAGAAATGGCCATGGCTAAGATGTGATCACTTGTTCAAACTGAAAGTGGGGGTGTGCCCTTTCAAATGACGCATAATCCAAATAAAATGTTGCACTTATTGAAAATAGACTGTTATTACTCTGAGTCTGTGCTGGTTTTTGTGCTGGTTCAACATAAAACAGTGTTAAAATACCATCCATCCATCCATTTTCTTCTGCTTCTCCGGGGCCAGGTCGCAGTGACAGCAGTCTAAACAGGGACTCCCAGACTTCCTTCACCCTGGACACTTCCTTCAGCTCCTCCAGGGGGACCCCAAGGTATTCAAAGGCCAGCCCAGAGACACAGTCCCCCCAGCATGTCCCGGGCCTTCCCTGGGGTCTCCTTCTGGTGGGACATGTCCAGAATACTTCCCGAGGGAGGCGCACAGGAGGCATCCGGAACAGATGCCCGAGCCACCTCAGCTGGCTCTCTTCGACATGGAGGAGCAGCGGCTCTAATCCAAGCTCCTCCCATGTGACCAAGCTCCTCACCCTATCTCTAAGGGAGCACCCAGCCACCCTGCAGAGGAAACTCATTTTGGCTGCTTGTACCCGCAATCTCGTCCTTTCGGTCACTACCCAAAGCTCATGACCATAGGTGATGGGGGTAATGTAGATTGACGATAAATCGAGAGCTTTGCCTTTTGGCTCAGCTCCCTCTTTTAAAAAAAGGTGGCTTGCCCTCTCCGGGTGGATGGAGAGTCCCTGCCTCAAGTGGAAAAGTTCTCGGGGGTATCTCAGGGTCTTGTTCATGAGTGTTAAAATACTGTACATAAAATTAGAAAGATTAAGACATTGATCTGGAGCTGACTCTATCATGAACGTCAGATCACTGCTGCCCACGTGATGTCCCCTCTCTTGTAGAACCATGACCAAGAAACAACTGTCTTTTTACAGGCACATGCTTCATATTCTACCACATACAGTATCTGATTTTACAAAACTGTCTGTTCATTGGCAGTTAATAGTTGACTTAAGTTGTGGTTATCATCCCAAAATATGTATTTTTCTTCTTTTTAAATACACAGATATCTGCTTTTTTCCTGCATGGAATTAAAGTGTGCAGTAGGAAGAAATAAGTCAGATTAAAAACATCTTTGCCTGTTTGTACTTTTTTGTGTTTACATAATCTTTCACTCGGTCAAAGTATGAGATGTGGAGTACAAAAAAATAAGGTCAGACAGTTGATTCTTGGGACACGCTGGTACCAAAAAGTTGGATTGGACAGTCCCACACCAATCAATAAAACCAATGTGTCAGACTCTCCGCAACTTGGTTCTTTTACTGCAAAATTCCACAGGCATTTGAGTGCATGTGTTTCCTGCTGCTTTTCTATCAAAGACTAATGCTAACTTTGATCTGCTCTTGTAGTAGGGCCTGCCTCCTTTGTTATACACAGAATGATTTCCTTTTTTCTGGTTCTAGCCCATGGCAACATGCTCACTGCAATTACTCCCCAATGTTGATGTAACATTACATTTGTTCTGCTATGATGGATACCGTAATGCCAGAGCACACAAAGGAATTATAGAGGAGGAAATACAGTTATAATGTACAATCATAAAATGCATTAGTCTCATAGTGTTTTTCCAGTTAAGTTGGTTTTACAAATGGTTTGCATTATTTATTCATAAATATCCTTCTATTGTAGCCACAGCTGCCCTGGGATACTAGATTAGTAGACTAGCAGAATCACAGCTTGGATGGTCTCGGTTACTAACCCGGCCCAACCTGGCTTAGCTCGTGAGATCAGACAAGATCAGGAATTGTCAGAGAGGTTTAGCCAAGCAACAATTACAGTGCCTAGCCTACCACTTTTAGTGGCTATGTTTGTATGTGCTGTGGTGGAGCACAAATCACTCCAGCAGGTGGTGAAAACTGCCCAGCGCATTATCGGGACTCTCACTGCCCCCGAGGACATCCAGAGCAAGATCTCTGCACAGGGCACACAACATCATGAAGGGCTCCTCTCTCCTGCCCACAGACTACTCTGCCCCCTGCCTTCTGGCAGGCATTAGGAGCCTTCAGGCTAGAAGCAGCCGACTGAGGGATAGTTTCTTTCCCAGGGCTGTCACACTCTTAAATTTGCACTTTAAATAATGCACTTTAACATGCACCACAATTAGTGTCATCTAAATTTAACGTAAAACTCAGTACACTAGCTCATATGTACGTAATGTGGTCATAATATTCCTGCTAGTATTTGTTTTCTCTGTGGATAGATGCTAAGCTGCATTTAAGGTTAAGGTATCACTCTTGTCCCTGCAGGGAAATTTGTCCTCTGAATTTGACCCATCCCTCAATACCACAGGGGCATCAAGAGCGGTGTGCACCACCCATATCTGTGACCCTGTTACTAATCTTGGTCAGGACTAACTAAGCTAAAGGATTTTGCCTATGGTGCATGTTTTCGGTTGATGGGGGAAACCGGAGTGTCCACAGGAAATCCACCCAGACACAGGGATAACATGCAAAGTCCACACAGAAAAGCCCAGGCAACAAGGGAATTGAACTTTCCTGCTGTGAAGTGTGCGTGCTAGATACTCAGCCACTGTGCTACATTTCAATGCGCTGTAGGCTAGGGCTGAGTATCATTAAGAAGTTACAGATATAATACATATCTCGATACAGAGAGCTTTTGATTCGATATGATATATTTCCAATCGATTCTCTATGGTTCAAAAAAAAAAAAAAAGGCTAAATCATGGCTGTGATACTAAAAGCCTTTGTTAAACCACTTCTTGTGCAAAGTTAAAATGAAACACGCCCATTTTAATCCTCAAAATAGTGAAAATATCAAAATGTAAATGAGTTTCCTTCCTCTGAACAAACAACTGCAGAGCTGTAACAAAATAATCTAGCAAAATACACCAAAAAATATTCTTGACGATATAACGATACAGCAGCCATACGATATATAGATATTTCAATATTTTTGCACACCCCTACTACCTAGTGCCTCCAAAATTTAATTTCTCTCCAGCAACTAGGTCAGGAATCAAAATACAATAGACGGTTCACAAAAACCCCGAAGTGCGAGTTTGGGCACCAGCCAATCAGCGAAGAGACATACATTGTGTGTTGGCAACGATTCCCGAGATCGAGGATTTAAAGCCGGAATAAAGAGAATGTTTGAATTTCATCAAGGGGCAAGACATTATTGCCCTTCTTCCTACAGGATTTGGGAAAAGCTTAATATACCAGTTAGCCCCGTTAGTGGCGCATTACATATGTCACGACCAAATAGCAGCAATTGGTTAAGTGATAAAAAGTACCTGCCTACCGTCGAGCAAAGGAAATCTAAAGCTGCGAGGCGGTAAACCTGGGTGATGAATCAGGCTATATAAAGCCTATTAAGAATAGTAAATAAATTAAGTGGGCATAATTAGGTTGGTAACGAGCATCATATGTGGTATTTTTATTAAATGTTATGTAGGATATAAACCAACATCAACACCAAGAGAGTCTATAAAAGTTGATCTGAAGATTCATGCATGTTCATAATAGGCTGTAATACTGTGCATTAACCTGTTAAGATGGTATAAAAGCATGAGGGAGTGTCAGAGCACAATCTGATTTCATAAACTAATGGACTGCAGATCTCTCACACCCCACATTAGGGATCATCCCCACTCGCCTTGGCCTCACATGCATCCTGCCCTGCGCCTCTGACTGCTTTTAAAGTTACACACATACTTTTTGAACTCCTCCTCTCGTGGCGCGCGTCCAGCTTTCAGACACAAAAGGCTAAAGAGGCTGGTCCTGGCACGGACACAACACTCCGGCCACACACACGCGGTCATCGCAGAGTATTTAAAGCCCGCACAGTGGACATGCTGCCCCGGTTCACCCGCGCCACCTCCAAAGCCAGACAGCGGGCATCAAAGAGCGCCAGACCAGCCAGCAGCACCAGCACCAAAAGCAACAGCAGCGGCGCTCGATTAGTCCGGTCTGAGGGAACTATGGCAGGGGCAGACGAGGATGGAGTTGCACCCCCCGGGTTCAAAAGTCTACTCCAAATGGACCCCTACCTAACGCCCTACGAGAAGGACTTCAAGCGCAGGTAAAACGCCGCGGACGCCACGTGTTTATTGCAAACGCCGCGCCGAAACGAGCCCGAGCTAAAGCTACATGCTAAAGCTACGTCGTGGCTAGCTCGCCGATTTAACTCATATCAAATTATAGCGGAGTTTTGGAGTCAAACTCGGAGTCACCTTGGGTTCACGTTTGACATTTGGAGCGAGGGGAGGTGGTGCACGCCCCCTGACGCGGTGGGAGCGGTGGGAGCGGGGGTTTCAGGGCAGCTCTGCCAGGGTATAAGTTGGCTCTTGTCCCGCTAAAGTTGTATGAATGAACCGCTAAGTGAAGAAAGACGCACGTGTTTATTCTGCACTTTGCGTTTGACAGCTCGTGTGCGCGTGACGGTGACGCGCGGGTTACGTACAGTGAACGCTTCAGGCTCGTGGACAGTGAAATACGTAGTAAACGCAGCAACAACTGAGTGAATTCTGCTGTTTTTGTGTGCTACCCGGTGTTTTTTTCAATAGCAGGAACCTCTTTAATAACCTACAGCAGCTCCTTACACTTTACAGTACTTGACATGTGCTGAAATAGTGAATAAATGTGTCTCTTCACGGTGCGTTAGAGGCGTGGGCCAGAAGCCAAGTTCTTAAAGTAGGGGGTGCAAGGGGTGAGCTGGGGTCACGACATGATTTCAGTACGTAACTTAAAAAATATGACGCTTTATCTAGTGCATTTAAGTGAACTGGGTCCGAATAATAATAGGATTTAGAGAAACTGTGTCAATGAATCATAAAATGGAGAATTGTGGAGCGTGTTTACTCTTGTCTTTGTTGCAGAGCAGGGTTACAGTGCAGGTTACACAATTGACTCGTTCTAATTTAAACTCTTAAAATGAGATCACTTGTCTGTACGAATGTAACCGAAGGCAATTGACGAGGGGTGTAACGATATGCAAGTCTCACGATACGATATCGTCATGGTATGAACCTCAAGGTACAATATTTATTGCGATATCCTGGGAAAGCTCACGATTAGGGATGTAACAGTATCGAAATCTCTCTATGATATTGTCACATCTCACGGTACGCTATTTATTGCGATATTTTGTGGAGGCTATCATGCAACTTTTTCCTCTTAAAATGCCTTGACAAGACTAAATCCAAACAACTAAGACTTAAAAGTGCTTAGAACTGTTATTTCTTCTTGTAGTCTGCGCTGAAATGGAGCAAAGGATCATGGTCTATGTAGTTCTCTGTCTTTTTTTAAAGATGTTTCTGCACCATAACTCTTAATTTAAGCAAAGAGACGTGCAATTCAGTATATTGGATGGTCCACGACATTATTGTGAGAACTTTGACAATACGATATCACGATATTTCGGTTATTGTTACATCTCTGCAATTTACAATTTCTTCAATCACAGGATATGAACAAAATAAAAATCTTCTATGCGAAAAAATTTATTGAATATTTATACGCATCATTCAGCCCAAGTCCAGTCCCGCCACAAAGTATTCAAAAGAGAAATATGAAACACATTTTAGGATAAAAATAATACTGGCATCAATTACATTTTTCAGTTTGTCAAATTATTATTCATTTTTTCTCTTTATATTGCCTTAAATCAAGTCATGTGCTTGTTCTGAAAACTCTTTAAATCCACCTGACACTGACTCTGAAATGAGTGTAAATCAAAATCCTACACCTGGTCTGGTACCGGCAAACAGCTGCTGAAACGGGCGGGTTTTAACGTTCTGGAATTTTACGGGCGGGTAGTGATTACACACGGGCGGGTCAGGACTAAATCAGGACTAAACCAGGACTACACCAGGACTAATCTTGGACTTGAGAGAGAGGGAGAGCCCTGAGCAAGAGAGAGAGCGCAATCAGGCTACGGCTCCATGGGGCACGGAGCTCTGTGCCGGTCCTTTCGCCTGCGGTCACCTGACGGTCTACGTGGGCGCACCTTCAAGCCAGTCCTGACAGCGAGTCCTGGTTCAGTCCTGGTTTAGTCCTCCTGGTTCTGTCCTGGAATCAGCCCTGGGTTAATCCTGGTTTAGTCCTGGTTCAGTCCGTGGCGTGTGTGGCACAAAAATCCGGCATCTCAATCAATGTTTCTTCTGCTCCGTAAATAATTCCTGTGGAGTGATGACAGTCGAGTGGCGTCTGTGAATTCGTATTCGTACTGAAGAAAGCGTAACCCTTTCATTTCATTTCGTGATTGTAATTCTTGAAGTCGTAACATTTCAATTCGTATTCTGATGGATGCTTCAGTTAGAACGCTTTTAATTTGTGTGTGATTTATCGCGTGCACGGGCGGGTAACGGGTGAAATGTTAACTCGTCCGGGCAGGTACGGGTTTAACTTTGACAAAATCACAGGTTTACGGGCGGGTGCGGTGCTGTACTGTGCAGGTGCGGGTCTCCAAATACGGACCCATGCAGGACTCTGGTGTAAATGGCATATATAGCGTATTGTCAGAGGAATGAGGTCCCCGTTTGATTTTGTTCCCCATATTGCCCAGCCCCAGCATCACAAGTTTGAGAACCCTTGTTAAAAACTAAATAATAAGGATTGGACATCTTTCTTTTGCCCCACTGTATGCTGCATTGTTTTTATTTGGATTTTTGCTCTTTTGAATGCACGATGCACTGTGGTCACTTTTCAGATGCAGGTGGATATGACTGAACGGGCTCACGGCCAAACAAAGTGTACCTGTTGGCGTGATGAATAAAGTAATCTTGAAACTTAAACTACAGGGAAATTGCGACGGTGATCCCCTATCAGATAAAATTATATTTGAGAATGACCTTAAATTGATGAATGGCCTACATTAATATCAGATGATGATTATGCTCAGGCAGCCATGAATGCCTGGGAGAGTTTGTGAAGTGAAGAGTTTATAAGGTGATATAAAGCAAAGGTTTATCATTTTCCTATCAGTATTTTTGGCTACTGTAATACATTTTGCTTGTGACTGTTTAGCAGTTGTTTTGCAATGCTTTTTCTGTTTGGTTTAACTGTCCTGTATTGCTTCATACTTGCAACATATGCAGTTTACAGCCTATTACTAGACCTGAGTTGACCTGTGCTTCTGATAGGTGCTGATAGGGCTGTTGCAATGCTCTGCGACACAATGCACGGGCTCACGTGTGACAATAAGCATCCTGCAGGAGTCCTATGTGTAAGTCAAAGATGTGCAGTGAAATGTGATCCTTGAACAGCTAGAGGTGTGCAAAAATATCAACATATTGATTATAACGTGTCGTTTATTGTGATAATACAGTATCTATATTATGGCGTGCTGTATTAATATATCGCCAAGAGTATTTTTTGGTGTATTTTACTGAATTATTTTGTTGCAGCATTACAGTTTTGTTGCTTGTTTAGAGGAAGGAAACTCATTTATGCAACACATTTGACATTTTCACTGTTTTGATGATTTAAGATGGGTGTGTTTCATATGAACTTTGCGCAAGAAGTGGTTTAGCGAAGATTTTTAGTATCACAGCCAGGATTTTGCCTTTTTATTGAACCGAATTTAAGAAAAGGTTTAAGGTCAAGATTACTTTATTCATCACGCCAACAGGTACATTTTGTTTGGCCGTGAGCCCATTCACTCATATCCACACCTGCATCTGAAAATCGATTTTGACTTTTTATTGAACCGTATTGAATCGATTTGAAATGCATCGATGGCGGTGGCCCATGTATCGAGGTATATATTATATCTGCAACTTCTTTAATGATACCCAGTCCTACTAACAATAAAGTCTTGTCCTGATGGTCCCCTTTAGCCTGGATCGTGCACAGACTTATATAGCGCATTTTTGGACACTCAAAGAAGCTTTACAGACAAATAAATAACACTCTGAGTAGCATAACTTCTGAATCTATTTAGCCTGAAATATACTTTTGACGTGATCAGTGGTATCGCTCTTGGTATCAGGACCACGTACATGTATAAGACTAATATGAGTAGCCTACAATTGGTTAATTCCACTATGTGTATGTTGCAGATCATGCCTTTTTAATAGAACGAAATGAAATGATGCCTTTTTAGTTTATAATTGAAAATGGTTTAGTGGAATTAAAGTAGTTTCAGTATTACCATTCATCACCATATTCATCTGTAGGAATATATTGTCCTTCAGAACTGTGACAGGTCCAGGTATTGGAGCATTGCATCCCAATTTAATAAGAGACATGCAGGAAGCGGACCCTCCGGAAAAGTTCCTTTGTGTAGCTTTTAAAGAGTGTTCACCAAACCCATAGATATAATTGTCTGGCTACTGGCTATAACCGGCTGGGCAATCAAGGATTATTCTGAAACAAGTTCACTCCTGACTTTCTTACTTATAAAGCAGGGTTATGGTGCAATTACACTTATATATCTATATAAATGTACCTGACGGCAGTTAACAATTTCTTAAATAATAGCATATGATAAGAATAAAAATGTAAAGAGCTTCTCTGTTTGAAAGCCCAGCAGTCTCTCTAACTTTGATTAAAGTTGATTGAAATTGTTGTTGTTGAGATTTTATTTTATGTCCATATCATCCAGCCCTAAATTGTTACATCTTGTATTCTACTTATATTTTGATTTTTATTTATTTTTGTTTTATGTACACAGGTCTTTAAAGTTGCTCTGCAAGTTTTTTGTTGGAGGCTCTGGCCACCTGCTCGTCTCCATGGAGATGTTATTGCTTTGCCCGGAATGTTCCATGGTATTTAAAAAATTTCCACCAAACATTTATTCATTATGGGTGTTTCTGTTGCTCAGAAATGCAGTAAATCCTTCAGAGAATAGGGGCCACTCTCCACAGATCTGAATTGTAATGTAGTGTAATGCTGTAACCTGCTTGTCTCCTTCACGTTAGACATGTTTAATCTATACTGTGGAACATTCTAGACAAACCAGTAATATTTCCTTGGAGACAAGCAGGTGATGGACCCTCCACTCAGTGCCAACAGAGAGAGAAGAGATACTATTTTGTGACCACACTATATTGGAAAAGAAAGTCAACCACGAAGACTATT